GCCTCGCCGCCCTTCCTACCCTCTTCCGTGGGCCTCTCGTCTGCGCTTGGCTCAGGCGACTCCGTTCTGCTAATCCTCTGGTGGTTTTCTGGGTTATTTAGGCAGGTGTAGGTGGAATTTAAGTGATCAGCAGGACGCGCGGTGAGCCCAGCGTCCTCCTACGCCGCCATCTTCCCTGACCCTTCGTGTATTTTTTTTTTAATGTTTACTTTTTTTTATTTGAGAGAGCACCAGCAGGTGAGGGGGGAAGTGGCAAATGGAGAGGAAGAGAGAGAATCCCAAGCAGGAGCCCACCAACACAGGTCTCGGTCCCACAATCCTGGGATCATGTCCTGAGTCAGACATTCAACTGACTGAGCCACCCAGGCGCCCCAGCCTTTACTGTTAAATTTGACAAGTCTGAAGCCATTCTGTTTCTTGAGCTATTATTTTTTTTCTCTCTGGAAGGCAGTCTGTATTTAGGCACCCCTAAAAAGTTTTAAAAAACACACAACAAAATAAAGTGGACAAGTTAAAAAAAAAGCTACTGCCAAATACCTTTCTTTGAAGATTTTTCATATGATTCATCTTGCAACTGATTCTGAAGATTTTCAATAGTGTTCCTTTTCCTAATTCCTACCTTTCTTGGTCCCCATTTCTAGAGGTACATAGTGCTACTAATATTCTTCAGCTTTTTAGGGATTCATTGGTAGATTGGTCCTATACTTTCCCTGATGCCTACTTAGAACTCAGTTTTCTCAGGGTGTCTGGGTGGCTGAGTTGGTTACATGTCCAACTCTTGGTTTCAGTTTAGGTCATGATCTCAGGGTTGGTGAGTTCAAGCCCTGCATCAGGCTCAGTGCGGACAGCAAGGAACCTCCTTGGGATTCTCTCTCCCTCTCTCTCTGCCCCTCCCCTGCTATTGCACTCTTTCTCTCAAAATAAATAAATAAACATTAAAAAAAAACCCTCAATTTTCTCAGGTATTCTATATCCTTTATTATTTTTCAATCAGCTTTGAGTATTCAAAGTTGTGTTCCTGTTTCTTTTTCTTCTTATTCTCCCTGGCCTTGTGGGTTTATGCCTTTCTTTGAAATGTGTATGGATGTGTGTTTATCTTGAAGTCTTATCTCTTCGTGTGCACTTGTCCTGTCTCCTTCTACTACATTGCAAACTTTTTAATTTAGCTTGAATCGGGGATATAATTCTCTCAGGAGTTAACTTACTGCCTTCCACATAGTACATTGCAATGTGTTGTTTGACTTGTTATATAAGGCAGTGATGCTGAGTGATGTGTGTAAGAAATTGATAATCTTTCTAAACACAAGGCAGTTATTAGTATGCTGTGTCCCTAGAGCATTCATTTATATATCCCTGTATTCCATTAGTTTGCATATTGAGAATGATTGGTACTCTAGCGATTTAGATATATATACTCTACTAATGGGTATTAAGTTAGTGTTTCATAGTATGAAAATATCCTCACTGTGTTTGAGACTTATTGATAGTGTACTTCATTATCTTAATTGTATGAATGTTTCACTTCAGCAGGGATTTCTGAGGGTAACAGTCACAGATGAATAGAAATGAAGACGGAGCGTGAGAAAAAGCCACTTGCGATACTTGTTTCCCTCCCTTTCCTTCCTTATTCTTTCTGTTAATTAATATACTCTTATCAATGAAGCGCTAATTAAACTTTTTCTAATCTGATGTGAATCTCAATAGTAGCTAATAAAATTAGATATTTAATATTTAAGTTAAAATAATAGATTCTTGGGGCACCTGGCTGGGTCACTCAGGAGAGCATGCGACTCTTGATCTCAGGGTTGCGAGTTTGTGTGTAGAAATTACTTAAAAACCAAACAAAACAAAACCAATAGATTGTTAAGGTAGCAGACACTCTAACGTTCAACCCGTATACTAAAAGAAAATGAGTACTTTGATACTCATGTCCTATGGTAAGTCAGGGGACAATTGTGTATCTTATTCATTACAATGTCTTTCCAGTCCTAACAGGGGCTTTACAGAAATGCACTGTATGAGTGGCCACTCCAATTTTGTATCTTGTGTATGCATCATACCTTCAAGTGATATGTACCCTCATGGACTAATTGCCACTGGAGGAAATGACCACAATATTTGTATTTTCTCACTGGAAAGTCCAGCACCACTTTATATACTAAAAGGTCACAAAAATACTGGTGAGTATAATGCTTTGATTTTTTTCTATTTGAAGAAGTTTCATCCTTTTGAAAATAAAATTCATATATCTGCATTCCATACTATTAATTATGTTTGTTTTACCTATGGCTATGACTTGATAGTGAAAACCTTTTAGGATCATCATTGTTCTGTAAATTCTATTCCAGAGTTATTGTTATCATCAGTAAAGGTTGACATGCTTATATATGTAAATAATACAGTGTTCTGTTATAAAAGGAAGAAGCTGTATAATTTTAATACACCTTGTGGTTTTCGTTTTCAACTATTTTGTGCAAGGAATTAATTTACTCAGGAAGACTAAGAGTATTTTTTCATCTTATGGTTGTTATATCTGTATTTATGCAGTAAATTGAAGACCCAGAACAAATGTGTTTAGGACCTTGGTATCATAACCGAAGAGTATTTAATACTTGTTAATATTGTTTTCTATGGTTTACGTATATTTCTGATTATCTGATATTCCTGGATTTGTGCGTGGTTTAATAGCTCTTTATTATAAAATGATATGCTTAATCAATGCAGTGTGTATACCTATTTTTTTATGTATCTGGATCTGTAAGCAAGTAGTATGCCCCATAAACACTTGAAAATTCCTTTGAAAAATTTTGTAAAATGAATTGTGTGTATATATGTGAAATCTTTAATCCTGAGTGATACAGACTTTTTTTTAACTTCATTGAGGAAGTCTTGAAATGTATACAATGGTAGAGATACAGTATTTTGTAATGAGTTATGGATAAATATATATATTTAAAGGAATGACGATCTTTTCCACCGGTGTATTTACATAGCTTTATCAACACATGGCCTATCTTCTTTCATCTCCCCAGTCTTTTACAATGTTATTTTAAAGGAAATTTCCAATATACTGTTTCATTTGTAAATACTTTAATATGTAACTCTAAAACAGGGTTTGGCAAACTTTTCTGTAAAGGGCCAGATAGTAAATATTTTAGGCTTTGCAGGCCATCTGGTCACTTTTACAACTATTCAAGTCTGCCGATGTAAAGAAAAGTAGCCATTGACAATAAAATGAATGAGCCTATCTGTATTTCAATAAACAGCTATTTATGGACACTGAAATTTGAATGTCAAAATTTTCACATATCAGGAAATATCTTTTAATTTTTCCCCCCAATTACTTAAAAATGTAAAAACAATTCTTAGTTTGTGCAGTATACAAAAACAGGTGGCCCACAGGCCATAGTTTGCTGATCCCTCTAAAAGATATATTTTTTTTAATCATCATTACACCTAAAACAAAACAAAACCTAATTGCTTATTATCAAATATCTGATGAAGGTTCAAATTATACCCAATTGTTTCTTAAATGTTTTTTTACAGTTTGCTTGAACTGTGACCCAGCTAAGGTCCGTATGTCTTTTAATCTATGGGTTTCTTTCCCCCTTTCCCCCCCACCTCCCTATTTGAAACCAGCTTATTTAACCTGTAGGATTTCCTACTGCCTGAACTTTGCTGATTAAACCCTCATTGTTTCCCTTAACATGTTCCTCAATCCCCTATATGTCTTAGGAGGTATTAGTCAGATCTAGAAACTTAATCAGATTCAGGCTCAAGTTCTTGGCAAGTACCTGTTATAGGTAGTATTGTGTACTTTCTGTTGTAGCACATTAAGAAGCACTTAATAACTCTTTGTGATGTAAATTAGTGGGTTCAAATGTTGATCACTTATTCATTATAAAATTACTAGCTGTCTTGTATGTAATGGTTTTTAGCATGTAGTGATGAGCACACACAGATCCAGTATTTCATTAAGATTTGAAAAATCATTATACTCTAACTCTACCTTTTTTTTTTTTTTTTTTTTTTTTTTTTTTTTGCCTTTAATAGCTAGCATTTTTTTACTATATAATTTTCTGACATTGCTTTTTTTTTCCCCCTGTCAATTCGTTGGTTACGTGTGAGACTTTTGTACAGGGAAGATAGGATAAATGCTTGCCATGTCTCCTCTCCTACCTCTTTTACCAAGTTTCAGAATGAGTTAGCTTCCTGTTTCTTTTTCATTCTCAAATTGTCCCATATTTGGCCATATTGGAAACCTCTTTAAATTGGCCCCTGTGGCCTTTTGATAAGACCTTTAGCAGTTTCCTTTGCTTTTGGTACTATAGAATGTTACAGGTTCACTTTATGTATACCTTGCTCTAGACCTGGAATCAGCTATTTCTCCAAGAAGCCCCGTGTTTTTTGCTTTTGTTTTTTTAGTGGGAAATAATAACTGGAAACCTGAGTTTTGGTTGTAATGGTGCTCAACAGGATTTTTTAACTTAATGTTGCTTTATAATTCTATAAAACATAAATAGTTTCAAAGGAAAAACAACTCACCAAAATATATTCAAAGAAGTCTAGATTCATTCCATATTGGCTTCTTGCACCGTCCCTTTCCTTATATTTATTAACTTTGTTCTTTTTAAAAATAATAGAGCAGATATGGATGTAGATTTATATTGCCCCTTTCTTAGGTAAAAGGTAACATACTGTATGCAATTTTCTGCCCTTCCTATTTTTGCTTGATAACATTACCACTTTGGAGATCTCTTTATTATACTATATAGAAGCCTTCTCCATCCGTGTTTACGATGGCGTTATAATTCATTGTTTAGCTAGCTGTACTATGACTATTCTAGCTTATTTAGCGAGTCCCCTATTGATGGACATCTGAGTTTTCAATCTTTTGCTAGTACAGATAGTACCATAATAAATGGCTCCATGCCTCTGTCATTTTGTTAGTTTGGAAATGTCATTTAGGCATAATACTCATTTCTGGATCAAAAGGTAAATGGATATGTAATTTTGTTAGGTATTTCTGAGTCGCTTGATTAAGTGTTGTAACTTGTTTTTGCATTTCAAGCAGCAACATGAGTCCCTGTTTCCCTTACCAATGGTGTATGTTGTCAGATTTTTAGATTGTTGCCAAAATAATAAATGAAAAATGATGTTTTAGTATAGGGGAAATTTGCATCTCTGTTATTACAGAGGGGGACATCTTCATAGAAGGAAGGGATTTTTACCCTTTTTTTCCTGTGAACAATAAAATTGCCCATTTAATATTGGGTTACTGGCCATTTTTGAAGCCCTTGATTAGAGTTATTAACCCTTTCATACAAATTACAAATTTTTTCCCATTTTGTTAACTTTTTTTACTTTGCACATTTTTTTTTTGTAATGCAAAAGTCAATTTTTATATAATCTTATTTGTCTTGATCTTTTAAGGTATCATATGATCTCATAGAAATCTATGTAAAAATACTGCTTCAATTTTGGAGGGTATTTTTTCTGCCTGATTCATTTCTACTTTGTTATAAGGTAATCTTTTGTTATTTTGTTAGTTTCCTTGGTGGTTTAGAGGCCAAATGTCATGTGCTTTTTTTTTTTTTCCTGGCATACCATACATACCATGTTAGTGAGTATAGCTGAAAAAATTAATGATTGACATTCTTATGTCATTTTTGTTCAGCTTTCTAGACCGTTTTATTTTCTAAATAGTAAAGTAGTACTATTCTTTAGTTGATATTATACATATAACACTTCCCCATTTCATTATAACTTGCGATTCTAGGTAATTTTATGTTGCATTACTTGGTATCGTGGGCTTTTTTCACCTACCTATTCAAAGCTAAATGCTTCCTTATGCTTATTGAAAGAGATTTATTTTTTTTATTCATTATTTCTGCCTGATCTTGAAAGAAATTTAAAAAAAAAGAAATTTTCTGTGCTTTCTGAAACGTTTCTCTTGAATTATATGTTACACTGATCTCTGAGAGAATATGAAGAGCTTTCCCAATTACAACTATCAAGGAGAAACATTTAAAAAAAGAAAATTGTAATTGGTAGCTAAATCTCCTTATGAGAGAACCTCCTGTACCCAAAGATTTAAAAACTGGAACTTATTTTCTAAATCCAGCTTGATTCGCTCTTATCCATTAGGAAATATGGTGTAAGTTTTTGGAGGTAAGTTGTTATTATCTGGAAAATGAGGTTATCCAAAAGAAAAAATTTTTCACAAATTAACCATATCCTGAAAACTTAGGGTTTTCTGTTTTTGGACTTATACATGAATAATTTATTAATTAATATAAGCATCAAATGTTGAATTTACTGCCTTTTTGAGCATTTGAGTTTAAAGAACAATTGATGATACATAACCTTTTTTTTTTTTTT